CTTGGTTCCCCCTACAATCTGCACGGTATGTCAGACCAGAATATTCCGTAATGTGACATCAGTCAAGTGCAACACCTGCCTTGGCTGGTGCCACTTTAGGGCATGTTCAGGTCTGCGCACCACGCGAGATTGGACGGGGAACTTCGAGGGCCCGTGTTGCGCTGCTCGGCCGCTAACATCAATTGCGACGCCCCCCACTACCACCACAGGGCGGCAACCACCCCAGCAGCACACACAGCCAACGGCGGCAAGAACATACACTTCACTCACACCCCACATCACAACACGTCTCCCGAACCACATGAAGCTCCTCCAATTCAACTGTAACGGGCTACAGAGCAAGATTGAGGAGATAACCGCCTTTATGTGTCGGCATGGTATATTAATAGCTGCGGTCCAAGAGACGAAGTTGCACAGCAATTCAACTTTGTTGAATTGTGCCGGGTACAACGTGCACCGTCGAGATCGCGAGCGAGATAATGGTGGTGGCTTAGCGTTCATCACGCACCACACCGTGCAGTATCGTCTTATTGAAGCAGACATCGACCGCAGGGATACCACCCTAGAATGTCAGGGCATCGCTATCCGGTCAGGCGATGTCGAGCTCGAAATATTTAATATATACATACCCCCTGTCACCTGCTGCCCGGCAGGATATCACCCTGATATAGGTGCGCTCCTCAGAGGTGAAAACCGTATGGTAGTAGGTGACTTTAATGCGCACCACGATCTTTGGCACTCAAGCCTGTCAAACGATCGTAGGGGAACAGACTTGGCTGAGCAGATAGACGATTCGACATTCTGCACAATGAACGACGACGCACCCACCAGGATTATGGGTAACTGCAGTAGCTCGCCAGACATCACAATAGTCAGCGCTGGTCTGATAAACAGCATAACGTGGCGACCTATGCTGACTCTAGCATCAGACCATCTACCCATAGTCATCTCGATAGATAAACCAACCGACTTTGCCTCCGCCAAACACCGGACCTATGTCAACTTTTCTAAAGCTGACTGGAAAGGTTACGCGGAGTTTACTGAAAACACCTTCACATCGCTCCCCACACCAACCGACGTCCCCTCGGTGAACGTAAGTTCCGCAGGGCTATCACTGCTGCTGCAGCCCGCTTCATACCGGCAGGGTGCATATCGGACCCACGTCCAAACTTCCCTGCCGAAGCGGCTGTTTTAGCAAATGAGCGTGATAGCCTTCGTCAGGCCGATCCCGGAGATCCCCGTATCAGGGATCTCAACGCGGAGATTCGGCAACTTGTAAACGTACATAAGCGGAAGAAGTGGGAGGAGCATCTGAAGACTTGCAACTTCACCTCTGGTGTGAGCAAGCTTTGGTCAACCGTGAGGTCATTGTCTAATCCGACGAAGCACGACGACAGAGTCGAAATTTCCTTCGGCGACCATGCTTCGTCGGACCCGGAGCGATGCGCGAGCTATTTTAG